TACTACCAATCGCTTTTCTGAGGAATAAGTATATGCGTTGCGTTTACCTTGGTGCCTCGCTCGTTCCGGGTTTCGACGACGTCTCAAGGGCAACCAAAGCGCCATGAGGGAAAAACGCCAGTCGCACCCGTTGGCGGAAAGCACGAACGCGAATACACGATCATGGTGGATGATGATGATGTCCTGATGATGTACAAACAATGCGTATCTACTCCAAGGGGGTACCGGGAATTGAAGCCGTGACCCGAGGTAGAGGGGGGGGGGGCTCTCTCAGAGTGCTTAAAAAAATTTAGTAGTAATCCTTCTAAAATCTATTTTTAACGGCACCTAGCAACAGCGCAACACATCCACAAGCTTTAGACGTCTTAGACAGTTAATTGAAGACATTCGAAGCACTGTTTGGGTGAAGAATGGGTCTTTTTTGTTTGTTTTTGGTTCATCTTTATTCATACGGCTTATAAACGGCAACCATGGCGAAAGGAAGGTCAGTAGTCTGATGTTCAATTACAGCTGATTGCGAAACGTTAGAGCAGCTCGCTTCCCATTCCAGCCCAAGCTGCCCAACCATCTGTTTGTTTGCTGATGGCCAGACATCAGCACCTGCTTTTGCCAAGCTTTTGCTTCAACTTTTCCCAGTCTTATTTACATAGCCTCACCTCCCCCTCTCCTCGAATAATAATGGTGCGGAATGGTCACCAAAGACACATTGCATAACCTGTCAATAAAATGCTTGCTACCACATCCCGTCAAATGTTCGAAAAGCCCTATCGATCCGATTTATTTGGCTTTGGTGTCCGCCACAAACAAACACACGTTGGGCTGGAACGGGAATCGAGCTGCTCTAACGTTTCACAATCAGCTGTAAGTCGTCATTGATGCAATTAACAACATGCACGTCGCTGATTGTTTCCAGAAATTTGTTAGATTCTACCAAAGAAATGTTCTCTGCGAGCAAAGTTACCATGTCCGTTCCCTGCGCTGAGCATAGCGAAGCAAACCTAGCGTTACTGAGACAGCCATACTTAATGCAAGCATGTCCAATCGACGTAGCTCACCTCAACCAATTGCACCGGCGAGCTCATTTTCGACGCCTGCAGACCTCATTGTGAGCTGCTCCTGAACAATGTCGTTAGCAGACCGGATAGGACAAGGTATCCAAGAGAAAATTGTCGACCCACTTGTAGAAATGGGCGAAAATTACTATGTTTTTCTTGGAATAACATGTTTGAAGATGGGGGGGGGGAGGTACTCAAACCCTTAAAAAAAAAAACTGACCCCGGGTAATTTATAAATTCCCGGGGCCCCCTTGATCTACTCCTGAAGTCTTTGCCCAACATAACCAAACAGCGTGTTTCTCTGTGAATCAGCCGAGGCGAGTCGACACTCCACCGTTCCATCAAAGAAAAATTCGAGGCGATCAAGGTCGTTGAGGGATACATATTCACGTTCGTCCGTGCACGAGGAGGTGATTTATAAATAAAACAACCCTTTCGTGGAAAATCGGGCGCTAACTTTGCCGATCACGACCTGAACGTTGAACCTCAGTAAATAGCAAAGTCAACAGATGGTCCCGAATTTGTCTCAAAAAGTCGGAGGATAGTCACCAAAAATGAATTTATCAACTTATTGACGTTTTAAAAACTGTTCACCCACTTAATAGTCATATTGAGGTCATGTGCCTGCCATTAAGTTGACATGCAACCTGGAGGTGAGGTCAAACTATAGTCAAACATCAGTCATGGACATTTGGAGGAATTGATACCATATTCCAGATGGATTCTTTTACTTTTATTCCTTGTATACTTATAAATGATAATGAAGACGCAAGAAGAATGTCATTTGAAAATCTGTAGTAACATGCTAATATACAACATATTTACTCTGTGAGCCTATCTACCTAGAACACCTGACAGCTACTTGACAACAAAATGGAAAGGCTCGACTTAGAGATGACTGTTACTACCAAATACCTTTGGGACGGGCAAGAGAGAGATGAGATGAGTGTGGGAAGAGATGGGCAAGGGAAGAGACAGGCAAGGGAAAAGATGAGCGAGGGAGAACGAGAAGAGACAGGCAAGCGAGGGAAGAGATGGGAGAGACAGGTGAGGGAGAGATGGGTGAGGGAGAGATGGGTGAGGGAGAGACAGGTGAGGGAGAGACAGACAAGGGAAGGGATGGGCAAGAGAGAGATGGGTGAGGGAAGAGACAAGTGAGGGAAGAGATGGGCAAGGGAAGAGATGTGGCAAGAGAGGAGACTGAGTGAAAACAGATGTGCTGAGAGGAGGCATGTCGGGAGAGAAGTCATGGTGGTCATGGTGGTGGAATGAAGAACAGTTGAGAATTGCCTTCTACAGTTTTGAACCATGATCATGTGATTGTTTGATTGCGTTGTTTCTCTTGACTCAACGTGAGGGCCAGGCGCTCCAACTTCAACATTTGAAAATTCTAATCTGAAGACTTCAACAAAGTTCCATAATTAGCATGGAGACAAGACAAAGTAATGACTATTTTCTGACAATAACATCACTTGGAAAAGATGAATCATGACCGATTAGGATCAGTTGACATAGGCATGACCAACATCTGACAAATAGTGACTAGCTATCGACCACCTGATGACTATGCACAACTTTGCTTTTTACTGAGACTGATGGGCCAGCGGTGTGTGACAGGCACCCATCAACAGCAGGCCAGTGGACTTGGCCGAGCTGTCAAGAATTTGGCCTTGAGAATGACTGGGCCGAGACTCTAAAATAGGCCATGCAACATGGGTGGGCCGCACAAACAGAGCCCCATAGAGGACGGATTGGCCCACTTTGCCTCTGGCGCCCATGGGTTGCACCCAATTGCATGGATCCCATTGTTGCGCCCATTGTTCTTTCAGGCAGTTAACCAGAGTGCTGCCTCGTTAGTACCACTGTGGGGGACCACACATACGGTGCGCCTTGCGTATCAGCCAGGATTTCAGTATTTGATCAAAGGCATGTCCTTGGAATTAGACTTCAAACTCAAGGGACCCAATGCTCTTTGCTGGTTCTGGTTCCAACTGTTTGTCCAAGTACACTGTACATTCTATGTTTTCTCTTTACTTGTGTTTTTTGCCTTTTATGTTCTCACCTTATGTTTCAACCTTTTCTGGTTCAATTGTCGATACATATGCTTTGTATTGCACCTAATTAAACACCATTCTCTGTTCTTTCTATGGCGGGTCCCTCTACAATGATGAGAATTGTCGCGTGAATCAGAATTCGAAGTCACATGATTCATACCAGCGTTGCAACACTGCATTTGTCTTTCTCCAGAGCTCTCTCTGAGGGCAGCACCAAGGCGTGTTGCTACTGCTGGTTTTTGGTTGGATGGTCTGCCGCACACCGCTTGCATTATTCTGGTCTTACCTTATGACCTGGAGGGTGTGGACACTGTCTTCTTCACCTCCCAGCAGCAAGTTGATGGCTGCTGCTCCTCTCCTTGCAAGTCTTGAAGCCTTTAATTGGTGTGTTTTTTATCTGTCTACTCTCTTAGAAGTCTTCTTCAGAGTCTTGTAGTGAAATTATGCTTGCTTGGTTCAAGTTCAGTCACTCTCCCTCTTTCAACATGTTGTCTGCGAAACTCAGAATGCACCCTTACAAATACCGGCTCAAGGACCTCTGTATCTCGGTCTCTGCTGTTGACATGGGCACCACTTCGCCTGTGTTCCTCTCGTTTTCTGTCTCCTCGCCGCCTGGGGGAAAACAATCTGCCTCTGCTGTGCCTTGGCTTCTCCATCTTTCTCACCTCCCACTCCGTTTTGAAGCTTTTGCATGCACCTTTGTCACTTGTCTGTTTGGCCTCCCCGACTTCTCCTAGGCCCGTGTGCACCTTCCTCACCTGTACCCAGTCTATTGGGCCTTACTGGTCTTGTCTTGGCACCCCCTAGTCCTCTGGTGGGAGGACCTGTCTACATTCCGCAAGTTCATACTTGCGAAATTTGCTGGACTGCGTCCTGCTCGCCTCGCCTGACGCTTCTTTGGTTTAGCAGAGTGCCAGCGAGCGAGCCGCTGCTGACTTTCCAGCAGGCTCTGACAGGCTTTGACTGGGTTTGCGAATACATTGATTCACACCAGTCCGTGAGCTCACTTTACTGCCGCAACAGCCCTTCCACTTGGCTCCACCAATTGTAGTTGGTTCCTTTTTTGCCTATTGTTCATTTAGTGTATAATGACTTGTGCCGACAACTGAACCAGAAGAAATAAAAACATAAGATGACTTGAAAAAGAATAAGTAAAGAGAAAACATAGTGGGTAAGTAGGAACCAGCCTCAGGAAATAAACGGCAAAGAGCATTCGGAAACGTCCCTTGAGTTTCAAGTCCGACTCCGAGGAGATGCCTTTGATCAAGTATTGAAATCCTGGCTGATTATTAACCTGTTGTATGTGAAGTAAGTATTTAAATGTGCTGACAGCAGCCTCGTTGTTGCGCCTGCAGGCAACAACAGGTGAATTTTTCGCCATGGATGGGCGGCATGAAAAAAAGCCCCTCATACAATGGGTCAGCCCACTTTGGCAGAGAGGTTTATGGCACCCATGCACTGTGTCCATTGGTCTCATTGGCAAGTCCCAACCTGTGCAACTATTTTGTGCTCCACAAGAGGCACAATTCTTTTGCACTCTAGAGGTGCAATTATTTCAAGCTCCATGAGAGGCACAATTCTTTTGCGCTCCACGGGGGGCGCAATTCTTTTGCACTCCAGGGTACAATTATTTGTGCTCCAGGACGCAATTACTTGCGCTCTATGGGGGCGCAATTCTTTTTGCGCTCTAGAGGTGCAATTATTTCAAGCTCCATGAGAGGCACAATTCTTTTGCACTCCACAGGGGGCGCAATTCTTTTGCACTCCAGGGCGCAATTATTTGTGCTCCAGGGCGCAATTACTTTTGCGCTCTAGAGGTGCAATTATTTCAAGCTCCATGAGGGACACAATTCTTTTGTGCTCCATGGGGGGTGCAATTTTTTTGCGCTCCAGGGTGCAATTATTTGTGCTCCAGGGTGCAATTACTTCTGCTCTATGGGGGCGCAATTATTCTGAGCTCTACAGGGGGTGCAATTATCTTGAGCTCCACAAGGGGCGAAATTATTTGTATTCCATGGGGGGGACAATTATTTTGAGCTCCATAATATGGCGGTCTGTTTGGGTAAGTATTCCCAGACTTCATGTGTCAGCGCGCAAAAATATACATTGTGCGCAAAACTATGTGTGGTGTTGCACAAAAGTAATGTCACTGCGCGGAATCATTAGTATACTTGCGCAGGATTAAGTTCAGTGCACGCAAATGTTGATTGTGCATGGAAAAGTTGATAGGTGTGCGCAAAATTATATTTGGTTGCGCGGAAACTTTAACTATGTGTGCCAAAACTTATTGACAGGTTTATGTGGTGCCCGTAAATATTATCAAGTGCCGCATAAACTCTTATATGTGCGCGGAAATTATTGGTTCCCTTGCATGGATTTTTTGGGTTCCTACCATTTTAGGAATGCCATGGTGCCATGATTAGGTAATTGATCTATTGTTGGCAGCCTCAGCGGAGTTTGAAATAAATTGACATGTAACAATATTCATAATTGATCTTCTTTTACCAATCTTGTCTTATGATATCTTCTCTGCCCTTCAATTTTGAGAATTCTTGGACTTAGGGGGGTTTTCTGGGAGATGTGGTTGGGTTCCTACAGGATAGTCACTATTTCCATTCAGGCAACCATGACCTAGGTTCATTTTTTGTTGGAATTCCAAGCACATCACATTTGTGGAAACAATGATGTGTTGCTCTGTAGTTATTCCTCCATCATTCTGTTGATCATTTTGTGCTTCATGTGATGATAATTATTTCAAATTAGACTATATATTTAGGTAGCTAATTACAATATGAAGACCTCACGTGTTTGTGAGGGGCCCCTTTCAACCCGAATGCTCACAACGACCTGAGCATTTCAACATTTTTATCATGTTGTTGATTATGCCATTGTCTCTCTGGTGCTTCTTTCCCAGCTGTTGGACTTTCATGTCCTGCATCTTGGTCATGATAGCGACCATGCCCAGTTGTCTCTTACCATTGTCGTTGACGTTCGTCACAGCCTGGGGCTGCAGCCCAGCTGTCCTCGTCCCTTGTTGTCTCTGCTCGACTCAATGTCCCTCACTAGAGTTTTAGCCACAAATATAACTGCAGAGGACACTGCATGTGCCCTTTATGGCCCTGTTTACTTTACTGCGAGTCCAACCCCCGTTTATGTTGCTGTGTCACAGGCTGGAGACGTCTCTGGAATGGGGCTCTATTGGGGCAAGTCTTGCCATGTCTTCTTCCAAATGCATTCCACCCTCAATGGTGCCACTCTTGCAGCTGTCTCCACAGTCCTGCTCCATTCCAGGCCACATTGTCCCTTAATTCTTTACACCTCCTCAGAATATGCTATATGCACCTACTGTTTCTGGGCTGGAAAGCATGCCTTGCAGAGGTGGGCTTGTGAGCATGCAGATATCTTGAAGGTGGCTACTGCACTGCTCCAAAACAGGGCTGCTGACACCATTTTCTGTGTCCCTGATAGGAAAGAAAGCAACACCCACTGGAGGTCTGCAGTTCAGTTAGCCAGGAAAGCTGTTCAGGATGATACCACACACGTTTTCTGCCCCCCTTCCCTCTCCACTTTACCACTGGCTGTATCCAGTGGCCCAAAGTGTCCACCACGTTGTCACTAGTGTTTGAAAGTCTGGTTTGGTCCGGTTTTTTGATGCCCAGGGGCATTAACCGTAACTGTAACCGGTCTGCCTTTTCCCAATTGGTGCTTCTATAAAATAAGTCTGGTACATCTATTATTCCCAAAAGTAATTTACATTTTAATTCATATCTCTCTTATTTTTTGACCAAATCGTACGTTCTTGGGTGCATTTTAAAGGGTATTTAAGGGGCTACAAAAGACCAGTTCACGTTAACCAGTTTTTTTGTGGTCTTTACATCTCAAAAATAAAAAGACCAAACCGCAGGTCCGGTCTTTTGTGGTCTTGGTCTGGTCTGGTTATGGTCTTTTTCCAGTCACAAGACCAGACTTCCAAACACTAGTTGTCACCCCTTGCCCTGTCCCCTGCTCATGAGGGTCTTCCTCTGTACCCTCCTCTGGATGTTGATGCCAACTCTGCATCTCACCATGGTCGTGCAGGGGCAAGAAAGAAAATGTGGCTGAACATGCATAAGTTGATGTTGTGTGACTCAGCCAGCAACTTCTGGAAGTTGGTGTGTGGTTGGACAGATGACAAGCTCTGTTCTCTCCCCTTTCTGCTGGAGTCTCTGAGGTCTGCTTTTGAGTTCCATATGAATCCACCCGCTGTCCTCCCATCCTCTTTTGATGTGTGCCTTTATGCTCTGCACCATCTCACTTCAAATGTGATTCTGCCCTGTACCATAGATACTATGCCAGATCGTTACTTCTCTCATCCTTTTGTGGATGAAGATGTTGACTGGGCAAAATGTAGAGTTCACAAGCACTCCCTGAATGGTGCAAAGGGAATTGATGGCATCTCTTATGACAGAATTCTCAACTTCCCCACCCCTGATCTCGTGTCCCTCTTCAACATCTGTGTTGAGAAATGTGATGTGCCTCAAATCTGGCTAATGACATTTCTGGTCAGGATTCTAAAGCCGGTCATTCAGCATTGGAGCCAGACAACTATCGTCTAATTGCCTTGGAGTGCTGCCTGCTGAAGTTCATGACACTCCTTGTTGATCGCAGGTTAGGCAGTGCTTCTGAGTGAGTAGTTCCTGTGCTTATCCTCTATGCAGGTTTCATCAGTGGATGGCAGCAGAGAGTGTCCTGCCTGACTTGCTTGCCTCTTGCATGCAGAGAAAAAGCCTTCTTGGGTTGGGGACATCATCCTTGTACTCTCATACCTTCAAGTCCCTGTTGTCCTGAAGCCTGTCCACCTTGCCGACCCTGACTCAATTCAAGAGCTTATAGCAGAGGTCAAGGTGTCCTGTGCATGTACTCTACAGGCAGACATCAATGACTCCGAAAAAACCATTCTGTTGAAGAATCTTGTCACCGCCACTGGTCCTGTCAAGTTGTCAGATGTGTTGAGCTATCAGCATTATCTCAATGTTGTCATGCCTGGACACTGCAAAGTGCTGACACAGCTCATGACTTTGTGCCACACCCTTGCCGTGAATTGCCTTCAATGGGATTCTCTGTGGCGAAGAGCCATTCCACAGGAGCTGAGGTTATGTCGTTTCTGTCACACTGAAGTTGAGGATGACTGCCATGTGATGCTCTACTACATCACAACTACAGCACTTACAGAGAAAAGGGGTGTCTTTTTTTCAGATGCTCAGCGGGTCCTGCTGGGAGTCCGGACTGCAGTCTTAGCTCTTCCTTCTCCAGACTTGTTGCGTTTTTTACTTGGCGAAAAGAGAGTTGTTGGGATCCTTGCAAAATATGTGTTTGATGTCCTCGGCATTTTTGACGCAGTTGAAGTGTACCTTCATCCTGAGTTGTTGCAGCCCACTGGCCTTTCTCCGTAGAGCCTTCATGTTGTGCAGCATGTGTTTGCTGTGTGCCCTGTGCCTGTAGTGTACCATTTCTGTTGCAGATAAGATGGTCAAGGTCAGTCGTGCTCCTCCTGGGTTATGGTGAGTTTTGGTTGTCAGTGGGGGGACCTGCCAGTGACCCCTTGAAGTAGGTTTTAGCCATGAGCCCTTCCATTGTGGTCAGGGGTGGGGTTAGTACTGGTCAGTTGGCTGATCGCAACAGTGACAGTCTGGTATAATCTGTAGCACAATTGTATTTATGCGCTACAGTTGTCTGTCGGAAGCCGGTTGTTCCTCATTGGGACTGCTCCAGAATACATCTACTCTACTCTACTCTACTCATGATTCCAACTATGCTACTTTCACTCAATGTAACACTTCAGGCAGTGACGAATATGAAGGGCCACATATGTGTAAACATAGGGACTAAAAACTACGGAATAGACCAAAACCAGTGTTCCCCTGACATGTTTGCTCTCAATTTATAAGTTTGGTGATGGAATTGTACATCCATCATATGCATAAAACAAACTTACAATAAAAAAAAGGATCAGATCTAAAAAATGAATGAATAAATATGACCTAAATTCATATTTAGAATTTGCTGAACTTCCTGGGCCAAGATTTAGTGTATTCTAAATATGAATTCAGATCATATTTATTTGATCATTTTTTGGATCTGATCCCTTCTTTTATTGTAAGTTTGTTTTGTGCATATGATGGATTAGGGACTGTCATGGATACACCCGGGTATTAACCATACCCGATCCATGGATTTTCCCACCCACAGATCAGATAAGGCACATTACGGATATATCCGTGGGTAAAACGGCCTGAGTGGCTGAGGACGTAGCTTCAGTTATATAAATGAGTGTATCTTGTTCATTTCTTGTCTGTTCTTTACAAAAAAAAATTGTGTTATGAAGCGAAAATTCAGAAGAATTCATATTAAAACAAAAGTCATTCATATATGATCTAGATTGAGTACAGTAAAACTAAAGTTATTTATACATCATAATCTGAGGTCTTTCCCTTTATATAATGCTGCTGTAACTGAGCCTTGATCACAGAGTGTGTTTTGGGGTGTGTATTAGCATGCCTTGGCCATCTTGAGAGTATTTATTTTCAGTTTCAGAGAAATGCCTTTGAGAACAATTGATATTTATGTAGAGGTATTGAAAGAACAATTTTGGTGACATAAAGTGTTACAAAAAGAAATCATTGTCCATCTTTTTTTCAATCATTTGCATAACTTTATTGAAGCCTGGGTAGAGGGGGGATTTAATCCAGGATCTGAGAGCCATTTCTGCTCTGAATGTTTGAGAGTTAATATTGTGCTGGGTGAAATTGATCTGACGGTGGCCAGTGGAAAATGCTCACTCTGCATCCACAGAAGTAAGGCTGCGACCGACGAAAGAGACGGTCTGGAAGTGTGACCGATCTGTGATGAGGCTGAGCGATCTCGCCAAGAGGCCAGGGCTCCGCAGGACCCCAGGCGGCGGCGACCCAGAAGGGAGAAAGCGCCGGGAATTCAGACGAGAATAGAGCACACTAAATATATAGCCGTGTACCCCCACAAAGCACATAACACACAAAACACATAAACACACAAAAAGCCTTGCACGAAGGCAAACAGCGCTCAGTCCACATACAGCCACTACACAGCAGACGGCTGTGGTCAGTGGCGGGAGGATGGCTGCACAGGGAAGGAAGGTGACTGTTGTTCGATCTCCGGGGTTCCCTTGGAACTGACCAGGAACTGACATGAATGCGAGCAGCAACTCAAAAGTCTCGTCCGAAAGGGACAAAAGTCAAAGTTTGGAGGAACAAAAGTGAAGGATGCGGAGGAGAGGGAGGCAGGAAGGGCGAAGCCAGAAGTCTTTTAACAAAATCATATTGCATGGTATGTTGGGTGTGTGGGACAGAAATACGAGAAACTCAGGCCTTACAACTCACCTAATCGGTTGCAGAGCAGTATCTGGGGCTTTGCAAGTGAGAGCCGTGACTATGATGGCAGGGTCAACATCCAAGACCATTGGGGCCATTGTTGATGTGTAACGATTGAGCTTGTGCAGGAGGAGAGGAAAACGGGCAACAAGCTTGTGACGGGAGACTTTCAGCTTGAAGAAGACAAGTGGTATGGGTATTTTGGTCAATGGGTGTTATGAAATCTAATGGTGCACCTTTGTACTTGTAAGGATGCACACCACGCTTCAGCCTCATGCCGATCGTAGGGGTGCTCTCTTGGCGTTCAATATCTACTACATGAACCTAGGGCTGCGCACCGTCCATCTGACGGACACAGTCGTCTAATCAACGGGTGTCGACAGGGGCGGTTCAACCAGCAACCGTCCGTCCGTCTGGGTCACCCAAGCAGAAGCAAACGGAGATGGACTGATATAAAACGGCCGTCAACAGATGTAGACGGACGTCAATTGTATTGACGTTGACAAATGATATTACAAAGGTATTAAAAGTTACTATCTAGCAGCGTACTAGCTCGTACTAGGGCGGCATTTGTCTGTGCGCGTGTCGTCTCTTAGCGAACTTCATCACACAGGATGGAAACTACTAGTAGCACAATGTAATAAACAGATGAGTACTGATTGCAAAGTACATACAAAGCAGAAATTTACTCAATACCTACCTACTACGGTCCACGATGAGATCGATCTTTCGGTCTTGATGAGTGCTTTTGCTGAAAGGTTTCATTCCTAGTGATCAACTAGTGATAATTAGATAATAATAATAAATTAAGTATCCGAAAATTGAAAAAGCAACAGGGGCTGCACGTACATGAAGAAATATTTGAAGGACAGATCGCCGGTTTCAGAAAAAAAGTTCACGGGGTACGTGGGGGTTGGAAGGCGATAGCGGCCTTGGTGCAATTCTCATTTCAAACTCCGCATATGCAGTGACGCCCGTCAACCCCGTTAATGCCTGTCACTCAACGGAAACAGACGGCCTTTCCCCATACGTCTACCGTACGTCAGGAGACTTGCGACAGGCCCAGACAGTACGGTGACGGTGCCCGTCTGACGGACCCGTCTATCCGTCTAAGACGGACACGGTGAGCAGCCCTACATGAACCCTGTCGTTCACCCTGTTTCCCAAACCGAGCCAGGACCCTAACGAGAACTGTCTTTTTCCCAAGCACGACTGTCTTTCGAAAGCAGCACAACCCAATTCCCCTGCCAAAATATTTTCCCACGTGTTGCGAAACCATTGCAAGCCTCGAAAAAGACGGTCATTTTCCCATCAAGAGACAGTCGCCAGATCCCTACTTTGCTTTGTGTGTTACATAATGGGTTCAGCACGCCTTGATCGCGCACCCGAGTGGTACCTACCACTTTTATGATAAAGTTTGGGCAAGTGCCTGCACAACTTTTTGGACACTGCCCATGTTTTTTATGAAATGAGAAATGTAGGGCAAGCATTATGAAATGTGTTTCATTCCCTCCCATAGTTGTTTCATATCTATTTCATTCCTTCTCTATACTTTCTCATACCTATTTCTTTTCTACCTGGCCATTCATTTCATTTATTTCTTTCCTACCCAGTGAGCAATTTCATTGCCTCCCCAGAACTATTTCTTTCCTCTTTCTTTCCTACCCAGTAATTTCTTATTGTTGCCTAGCTATTTCATTTCATAGTTGTAAATATCTTCCTGGGACTTGATTATGTAATACATGTGATGCCTTGTAAAATGTCTTTCCCTTGCTTATCCCTTTGCACCCTTATCATATTATGGTCTCAAATTGAAAGTTATGTAGAAATGGGGCCCACACCCTCTACTAGCAAGCATAACAAATGTTGCACTCATTTGACAATTAAAACCCTGTTATTTCACATAATTAATTAATTAAGTATTGCCCTGGCAAGAATGAAATAAAAGAATGAAACCAACACCAGGCAAACATGAAATGAAATAGCTAGGCAACAATAATAAATTACTGGGTAGAAAAGAAATAACCCTGGGGAGGCAATGAAATTGCTGACTGGGTAGGAAAGAAATAATCCTGGGGTGGCAAAGAAATACAAAAGAAATGACCCTGGGGAGGCAATGAAATGAATGGCTAGGCAACAAAGAAACAGGAAAAAAATGTGACTGAGGGGCAATGAAATAAATGGCCAGATAAAAAAGAAATAGTTATGAAAAAGTATAGGGAAGGAATGAAATAGATACGAAACAACTATGGGAGGGAATGAAACAACTATGGGAGGGAATGAAACACATTTCATAATGCTTGCCCTACATTTCTCATTTCATAAAAAACCTGGGCAGTGTCCAAAAAGTTGTGCAGGCACTTGCCCAGACTTTTTCATAAACAATCGTTGATACTAGTGCGCACCCACCCACCGATCTTGGCCTCCCTTTATCCACTCCTACCATGCTTCATATGCAAGTCACTGGAGCCCAGCTCCTCCCTGGCTCCTCCTAGCAAGTATTGGTGCCCATGACCTTGTTATGCCCTGTCATTCATACTCGAGACATAAGTCTATTCCCGAAAAATGTAAGTTTCTGCTCAATTTTCATGTTCTCAACCTCTGACTGACAGCATTTACTACAGAAATCACCACTCAACGTAGCTACCTGCTGCGCTTGGCCCTTCACACTCGACATTCAATTCTGTGATGGGTAAAAAAACTGTCCGCTGAAAAGAACAAGTTTGTCTGTCAGTCCCTGTCCGATTTTCATGTTCTTGGTTTTGAATTGACGGCATATTCTCCAGGAATCGTTCCCCGAAGTTACGAGATGCTGGGCCTTGCCACTCACATTCAACAATCAAGTATGTCTGGGGTAGAAGTTGACACTCAGGTAAACAAGTTACTCCATGATTTCATGCCCGATTTTTATGTTCTCTGCCTCTAACTGACAGTATTTTCTCCAGGAAACATAATCCAATTTTTTCGAAACATTTGGTGACGTCGCTCGCATCCGACGTTCAAGTCTTTGGAGGACAGAGGTCCACACACAGACAAGTGAAGTACTCTGTGAGTTCTGGTTCCATTTTCACGTTTGCAGCCTCAAACTGATCGCATTCTCTCCAGGAATCACTGCCCGAAGTTGCGAGATGCTGGGCCTTGTCGTTAACGTTTGGCATTCAAATATGTGGTGGAGTGGGGTCCACACTCAGGAAACCAAACTACTCTGTGAGTTCCAGTGATATTTCTATGTTCTTGGCCTCTAACTGACAGCATTTACTCCAGGAACTACTACCCAAATGCTCGAGACGTAAGGCGTGGTCGTTTTCATTGAGCATTCAAATACATGGGGAGTGGAAGTCCACACACAGAACGTCAAGCTGTTTCGTGAGTTCCCACTAGATTTTTATGTTTCGGGCCTCCAGGTGACGGCATTTGCTCCAGGAATCGTCCCCCCAGATCTGCGAGACGTTACGTGTTGTCGCTCACATACGACGTTCAATCCTCTGGGGGGCAGAAGTCTATACACAGAAAATCACGTTATTCTGTGAGTTCCTGTCCGATTTTTATGTTCTTGATCTTGAACTGATGGCATTTTCTTCAGAAATTACTGCCCAAAGTTGCGAGATGCTGGGCCTTACCGTTCACAGTTTGAATTTGAAGATGTGGTGAAGTGGGGTCCACACCTAGGAAATTAAGCTACACTGTAAGTTTGTGCTCAATCTCCACATTCTTGGCCTCTAACTGACCATATTTGCTCTAGGAATCGTCACCCAGATTTGCGAGACGTTACGTGTTGTCGCTCACATACAACGTTCAATCCTCTGGGGAGCAGAAGTCTATACACAGAAAATCACTTTATTCTGTGAGTTCCTGTCCGATTTTCATGTTCTTGGTCTTGAACTGACGGAATATTCTCCAGGAATTACTGCCCAAAGTTTCGAGATGCTGGGCCTCGCCGTCTCAGACAGCACGCTAGAGGGCAAGGAGCACGCAGTGCTTGTTAACTCCCATTTGGACAGCCAAGCCCAGGCGCTGTGGATGATGCCATTTCAGTTGGTATAATGTTAGAGTGCATGTGCGTTCTCATTGAGATGCCTACCTGGAGCCCAAAACATGCGATCATTTTCTGTGAGATAACCACTCCATGTTTACATCAATGTTCTGAAGTGCTGAAATCTCTTAGTTTTCAACCATGCCGAAGAATCCCTGCAGAACGGATCACAGTTATACTCTACCCAACATCCTACTGCCCCAACGTGAGCTGTTTGCATTAACCTCTGTAATGTATGAGCCGCCATTAATCTTGAAGCTGCTGGTACAACTGACCGCAAGCTCCCCTTCCAAGCCACATCAGAGGAAATGATCAAGGCCTCCTGCCATGTCCCAAGGTACCCAATTCAGCTTACCAACCTCCAAGACCAAGGGGGTATCGGGATTTAAATCCCGGATCAGGGGCTGGTTGGTTGGTTCAGCTGCCAGGCTGCTAATTTCTTTTTTGACATACCAAAATTTCAGTGCAAAACAACGACAGTGCTTGGACAGTGCTCAGATAACTGCCAGAATGCATGAGCTTGAATATATTGGGTCTATCTGTATATAAAGAAGCCAAAAACTAGCTCTAAGATAATGTAGGACTCAAGGGGGCCCAAGGACCTTAAAATTTACATGGGGTTGGTAATAGTGTTCGCAGGTCCGGTTCAGTCCGGTTTTTTGCCCCAAAAAATGCGCAACCATGGACCGCAACCGGTCCAGGACTGACCCAGATATTGAGGGAACCAAACCGGACCACCTAGGACCGGTCTTTTGCAGTCCATGGACCGTGTTCAAACCGATTCAGACCGGTCTTTTTGCATAAAATTTGTCATACCAATATAAACCATTTGTCTCAATTATTATTACTCTAAAAAATAAAATCATAGTAAAACATATAAATACCCATCATTCCACCAATTATTAAGAAATTTAATGAAGGTTTGACTTAGCTATGACTGAAACCAAATTACATCTCCTAAAGACTCAGGCAAAATTTAATGTGGCAACTGTAAATTATTTGATGCATACCATATATTGATAGATGGTGAGTATATTTTCATAGTTAAAATGTCAATATCCAAAAATTGAATCAAGCAAAATGATGAAAGTTTGAGTGAGTTAGAATTAAAGTCATTCTGGTACAAGTTGCACAAACAAGTATTTGTGCCAAAATGGATTTGGTTATATCTTTCTCAGTTCTTAACCGTTTTTGATGAACCAAAAACCCAATTAAAGGTAGAAAACGTGGTTACAAGGCTATGTAACGCATGTGACCGTTTAACCGGTTGCAACCGATTTAAACCGGTCTTTCAACAGTTTTAAAAGATTTTTGAAATGAGGCAACCGGCAACTGGACCAACCCCAAATTTGGGCAACTGCAAGCGAAAAAAGACCGGTCCATGGTCCGGTTCAGTTCGGTCCACCGGTTTTTTTCGGTCCTATGGACCGGACCTTTAAACACTAGTCAGTAAATCTTTTTAAGCCATGAGACGTGACCACCCCCCCCACCCCTCCTTCCTAAAATGGGTATGTCAGACCGAAAAAGGCAACTTCAAAAAAGACATATCGCATTTTTGCTTTACAAGAGGTGGGAGAAGCACAAAAATATATCAGTGTGCCTATATAAGTTGCGAAAAGGCATTTCAGTTCTCATTTGGTTAAAATCCAGAAGCATGAGAGTCCTTGATCTTCAGCCAGTCATGTGTTATTTGACATAATTGAAGAAAGAAATTCAAAATTTATTAGTTATGAGTCAGGAATGTGTGTAAAGCACATTAGAATAGCTGAAGAGAAACTGAGAGTGAAAGTGATGGCCATTTGGCCAGTTTTTGGCCTGAGTAGCAAATTCTTTTAAGAGCTCAAGGACCCACCCCCAACCCCAACCCTTGGTCTGGCATTCAAATCCCAAGGCCCCCTTGGTAGGACTTGGAATTGAGATCACATGTTGTGAAATACCTTTCCCTACAACAGCAAACTTGGAGCTTCCTGCCTGAAAACAGCAGGCCCATACAGTGATTTACTTTAATTTAGTGGGCAGCTTAGTAGTTCAATTTCAATAGTGAATTTTATGGCCAACTTCATTTCAAGCTCAGGGGAGCTCAAAAAATGGGTTTTTGCAGCCTGCTGGGAAAAAGGTGGCATGTGAATGACATCATATTTCCCAAAATGGATGTGTGCCTGATTACGTTGGGTGGTTGGTTCAGCCCAAGTCTAATTTCGACATCTGGTCCTTATTTTTAATCCCCGCACCCCCTTGTCCAAGATGCTCTGATGATCAATCTAACAGACCGTATGGAACAACTTTTGCAAACGATATTTTCAGCTTGGCAATCATCCTTTCAGAGTGTGTTTGTTTATATCTTGAGCCTTGGGTGAGGTGTATTCCTCTTCCTATTGGCATCAAGGTCTAGTGTTTGGAAGTCCGGTCTCGTGACTGGAAAAAGACCGTAACCAGACCGGACCAAGACCGCAAAAGACCGGACCTGCGGTTACGGTCTTTTATTTTTGAAATGTAAAGACCGCAAAAAGACCGGTTAACGTGAACCGGTTTTGACCGGTTTGGACCGGTCTTTTGTAGCCCCTTAAATACCCTTTAAAACGCACCCAAGAACGTATGATTTGGTAAAAAAACGAGAGAGATATGAATTAAAATGTAAATTACTTTGGGGAATAATAGATGTACCAGACTTATTTTATAGAAGCACCAATTCCTAACGGAATTTAACGTTCTTGGGCTCGTTTTGAAGCTATTAAAAATGTTAATAAATTTACCGATTAATAATTTAAAAATATTGGCCTAAAGACCGGTCATAAACCAGTTAAAACCGATGCAGACCGAAACCGGTCTATAGACCGCAAAAAACCGCGGTCTGCGGTCTTTTTGCGGTCCGGTCTGGTCTTTTGACTTCTGGGGAAAATGCAGACCGGTTACGGTTACGGTTAACGCCCCTGGGCATCAAAAAACCGGACCGAACCGGACTTTCAAACACTATCAAGGTCTCACCATCCTTAGCACTGATTTCCAGCAGCCCGAAACCTACTTGAATGTTACCGGTCTTGATGTAAGCCATCTTGACTTCTCTATGGGACTACCAGTCCATGGATTCGTATAGATGGCTGTAATCAGAAATAGCTATCTGTACCACATGCGGAAGGATATTGTGGAGAACATCGAAATTGGAGTTGGGCAGGTAAGGTTATCAATCTCAATATCCTTTGGCGCCAAACCTTACTTATTCTTTCCTAGCATATGGCTGAAAATGTGCTTGCACTGCTTACGTACCTCTCAGCTCCAGTCTCAGCGCTCCTCTGCCATCGCTCAACAAAAGTTACGCACCTGTATCCGTAGTATACTTTGCACACATCAGAGGCCTGTTCTTTATGTACACCTTCATTACCGCCAAGATCCTCTACACCTTCCTTTCTGCCGCTTCACTCATTCTCATGCGAGTGACTTGTGTCAATCCCGCACCTGCATTGAAGAGGGCTGGGGGTTTCTTCCAAGAACAGAAGAAGGGGATGATCATGGTCATCACTGGGCTGGTTGGTTGGTTCCAAACCTCGTTGGTTTGATGATGACCTTCGTGTTGAAGAAGGGGTTGAGCTGGTTTAGGTATCTCCTTGGGTTAAGGAGAAGGTGTTTGTAGTGTCTGCCTTAACTTTTAAGGATGTCAAGGACTTGATCACTGGGACGTGGAGCTTGACTATCAAGGTTGCAGTTGCCATGCAGGTCTTATATGCACAGGTGCATTTCCTGATTTCTAAACACATCAACTTAATTGAAACCCTTGTCAGCCACTGCCTCTCAAGTGGGTCCAGATGACAGCCCTCCAGGCGAGCATGCCTGGCATCATGTTAAAGAGGTGTCGTTCTATGGGACTGATACCTACCCCTTTGACATAACCAACTGACTGTTGAATTTGCAGCCAGGTCTTGTGGAACTGAAATTGTCATACCAATCTTTGGATGTTGTGGAGTTTACTATCATTATGTATACAATTTACCAACTCATGCATTTGCCTTGCTCTATTTCTTTGTTTCTTTAAACAGCTTCACCAAGGTCTTGCTAGACTCGGAAACTTCATCCATGAGGTCTGTCGGAAATTTCCCTGGTGCCTAATAAGGATTATTAGGCCCCCAAGGCACCCCCAACCTAATAATGGTTTACGATGTTGCAGTTAATTTATTAAGTTTTGGGTTAACTTAATAAGATCACCTGATAAGGTTATCCAAATGACAATTAGTCACGATGTAGACTTAACAATGTTACATGGCAAGTTAAAAAGCAACAAGTAAGGATTGAACCAAAAACCTCAGGGCTTGTGCGATCCTCACGTGAAGACTACAAATTTGTAGTTGTAACGTAGCACTACACTACAAAGGCATATAAGAAACTTCCCAAGGCCCATCATATATCTAGTATTTAAGCCTACCTCACAACACCATATCTTTACTCTCTGTATGGAATTTGGTATCATTTTCAGCTGAACATGATCAAAAGGATACAGGTAACCTTATAAGACACACAAAACACCAGTAATTGGTTCATAGCCTTGAGTTGGCTGGAGAGGCAATTGGAGCCTATATCACGAGGTTGGACTAATCTTATCAGACCTGATTTGCCTTATCACACCTTACCAGAGATCATCAGGCTTGTAACATGGAAGGAATCATTACATCAGACATATGGTCGCCTTGTAAGGCAATCGCCCCCGGATTTCCCTGGCATCATCTCCTCAGGCTTGCCATGAAATGACAAGGGCTGGCAAGGGTCGGATCCAGCCTGATTATGTCGGCGATCAACATTGCAAGGCCGGAGCCTTATCAGTAGTGTTTGAAAGTTAGGTTAGTTAACCAGAAAATAACCGGAAAATAACCGGACCTAACTGCAACACTAACCTAACCGCGGTTAGGGTTAGTTGATTTCGAAAATGGAATAACCGGTTATTTTGCGGTTAACTAACTGTTAAATAACCGGTTATAACCAGCCCTATTATACACCTTCAAAACGCACTTGAGAACGTCGAAAACGCTTAAAATTTGACTAAGTTACAGTCAAATCTCTAAAATATCACTCAAATGTGTAGACTTTCAAGGATAATTGCATAAATATGTCAATTCTTCACCGATTTTAGCGTTCTTGGGCTCGTTTTAAAGCTAGAATATGCAGAAATAATATCTATCAAGATACATATGAGCATATTTGCCTTGTTATAACTGATTCTTTATTTTTCGGTCCTAACTGGTTAGTAGCTGCAAATAACCGACCGTAACCGGTTAGTTGCAGTCCGGTTAGGTTATTTTAGGTTTCGGGACAAAGGCTAACCCGGTCTCGGTTAGAGCCCCTGGGCACCCAATAACCGGACCTAACCGGACTTTCGAACACTACTTATCAGGCACCTGGGAAATTTCCAACATCCCCCATCACCTCCTATCTTTCCTCCCCCACCTTTTCCACCTGTTCCTGCCTCATATTATCCATCTTCTGTGCCATCTCCACAACTCTCCCAGTTCCTCCAGAGCCAGCTCTTGCAATTCATACATCTCTTCTTCTTGGTCCTCTGACCTTCCACACATCAACCCCAATATCTCCTCCAGCACCTTCATTGTCTCCAGCTGCTCTTCAACAGCACCCTCTTTTTCTTCCCCCTCTGACTGAGTCAGGGCTTCAGCTTCCCTGATATAATGGTTCAACAGCGCATTGGTCGGTGCAGGGGTAGATTCCAAATACTTCTCTCCCAAGATAGGTATGACTGTATCATCATGGTCCAAAATCCTTTGCACAACCCTATCGCCCTCAGCATCCTGCCTCAGCTTGACCTAATCCATCCTGTCAATCCCACCACCACCACCACCACCAAGATCACGCAAAAGCTGCACCATCCTCTTCCACGGCCGCCAATAAGCACGGCGATATCCCCTGGGAATTATCACCCACCAAAAGTCGACACCGCAAACAGCTGATATCTGGGGACCTCAATGTTCGAGTGTCCATCCAGTGAGTGCAACAACAGGAGAAGTGCCTGCAAAAAAACCAATAGGAGGCTGAAAAACATTGATATATTCTTGCCGTAAGGTCGCGAGGGCGACTTGTGCTGGGGGGTGACGGGAGTTTCAAGTCAACATAGAAGCTAGGGCGATCAATGATAGTGATCCTACCCGCAACAGAAAGATTTAGATCCCTCCGAATTGTCGTTGTGGTCAGCTACCGTGACATGATTCAAGGGTATGTTGACTGCGGCCTACTTGTCGTACACCTTTGAGAGAAGTGAGATTCCCTTATCGTGGAAAAGGGGGAAGAACCGGAGGTGCCGTAGAAGACGAGCAGCCAAAGACAAGAAGCTCTTTGCATGGAGAGCGCTGAACTCGTAACCCGTGGGGTTAGAATGATACCAGATGGGGACACAATGGTCTCCTGCGAAGGATTGGGCAGAGAATCGATAAGGTGGGAGAGGGCAGAAGAGCGCGAGAGAACTAAGTTGAATGGCTATATAGTTTACCCAGAGAGATGCAATTGAACACGGAATCAGATGTTTCCATAACCTTAGAAACAGACGTACATACATAAACTTACTTGAGGCCGACCTTTAGTCTCCATACCAAGGCAACGTAATCCATGAAATTAGACAAAAAGTAATCCTGCAACCCCGAAGCGGTCTAGGAACCAATGGAAAAGCTTGAAAGCAACGATGTGGGATACGGACAAAACCTTGAAGGAATGATGATGTCAGAAGAATGCGGAGAAGCGAGGCCAAATGAGGATACTCTGGAACCAGATGCCAGCTGGGATTTGACGCGACCTGAAAATTTTTCGGAATCCAGAGCCATAGCAGGCCCCCAGGTGTCCGTCGTCTTTGCCAACACGATAGCCCAAGCAGGATAG